ACATCATTACCTGCTCATGTTCTTCCTAATGATACTACTGAATCAGTTATAGACCAGCAACCACTTCCTACTGAAGCAAGCCCTGCCCATTCGGATCATTCTCTTTATTTATGGTTGTCTCACTTTTTTCTCTCATTCCAATTGCCTTGCTGCTGCTATACCATGTGTATTTCTCCTTTTGTTCCTATATTTTTTGGAATAGGAGTTGATCTATTTTTTTCTCGACCTATTATAATTTCCTTGCAGACCATGCCTCAAGTTCTAATTGTTTGAGTGCTGCTGAGGGGTACATAAAGCGCAGATCATCTGTTGCTTTTCAAAGACAAGATGGTGAATTTAGGACAACTATCAATGCTTATTCTAAGGTTGTGTTCTTGCATCACAATCTTTTAGCCCTCCTTTTAACATTCTAATTATATTGTACAGTTTAACATAAACACTACAGGTCTAATAGGATAGGTTTGAGTAAACATGACCTTCATACCAAAAGGTTTGCTAGCACTAAACATCCTGTGGTTCTCCTTTTAGGATTATAGCAATATGCGGATTAGAGCAGGTGCCTCCAACCCATTTGCTTCTGTTCTCACATTTCTCAACACTCTGTTTGGTATTCAGTTGCTGACTTGCTGCTGGTATTTGCTGGACCTTCTTTCATATGCTTATTCGATTTGATAAGGCGTCATCGTCTTAACTTTAGGATACTGGGTGGCCTTATTATGTCCCTGGCTGTCCACTGATGCATACCTTCTTATGTTCGTGGCCTCCATTTCAATCCTTCTTACTCTTGATTTTCGTTTCATCAGTTTGGCAAATGGTGCTGGTAACCAGTTTCATTTTTGCGGCCCACTTTCAGTCTCCACAGGTTGATATAGGTAATTTTGATAACTAATTTTGATTTGCTCCTTTTTTTTCCATATTGGTTGGTTGCTCAAAACCCATGAGTACAGGGATTACTTTGGCAGGTCCATCATGTGACCTGAAATTTCTAGAGATCAATTAGTGAATGCTCGAAAATTTATTGATGTGTATTTCTTTGGCTTCATGTTCTCTTTACAACAATCGTTTAATTTGTTTTCCTTATTTGTTCCTTGCAGATTTCTAGGTGATTTTTTTTTACATTTTTTTTAGTTTTAGCGATGCCCATGCCATATTTTAGTTGTTTACCATTCCCTTTGTTTGTATCATCTATGGCCGAGACACTTTCCAATTAGTTGTCCTAATCTGTTTGTAGACGAATACGATGGGACAATTAGCTCCGAGATCTCAAAATTTCCCCTATATTCACTATAATTTTATCTGATTTTATGAATATCTCATCATAGAGAGATCTTTCCGAGTTTATGCTTCGAGACCGTGTTCGTGTTCCTGTATAAAACGAAAGTGTTTGCGGCCTCTGTTATCAAATATGCCTGAAGCCTGAAAAACAATCAGCACGTCAGATTGCAACACATTGTCACTCTTAGAACACACTAAAGTTCCAAAGTTGTCTATACGTTGAGAACATGTAGACACTTTTAGGTTACTATTAATATATCAATATGTTGATCAACAAATATGATAAATACAGCAATATATACAAATAACATAATATCAACTCCAATTGCAAATCTTCCTAGCGCCCGCAGCAACGCGCGGGGGGCTCACTAGTATCACTATATGCATTGAACTCGAGTAGCCATCCTGCGATGATTCTCTAATTAATCAAGCCAAATCAACTCGTCATCCTCTAGAGCAGTTCTCAATTTAACTATTCAATTGCACGGATCACCTTACTAGTTTTTTTCCATCTATTATTACTTTGAGCCACCGTGTTCATCGAGTACATCTTACTATTTGGCCAACACATGGAGTCACCGTGTTTACTGAGAAGGCCTATAAATTACAAGATTGAACAAAAAAAAAAGACATAAAAAACTTACACTATTGGATTTTATAATGATCTAACAGTTTAAAATTAAACCAAAGAGTCAATCCCAATACAATTAAGATTAATTGAAAAAAGAGCATACACCATTGAATTTTATTATAATCCAATAGCTAAGATTAAATTAAAATGTCAAGGCCAAATACATTTACGAGATTAATCGTAAATAGCAAAGACACATAACTGATTTTATGACGAACTAATGGTTTAGATTAAAACAAAGAGTCCATGCAAGATACAAATATAAGATTAACTCCAAAAAAATAATGTATACCGTTGGATTTACGATGATCTAACGACTTAAATTGAATGATAATGATTGGACCAGGCGCCCGTCCGGACGAACCAACCCGCTCATGGCACTCGACTACATCGCGCGGCACCGCTCGCACCGCTCGCCCACATCGCAAAAAAAAAGAGACCATCGACACGCACTTCGCTCCGTACCCGTGGCCGCCGCAGGCGACACCGCCGCTCCCACCCCGCCGGTCGACGCCGCTGGCTCCGCACCGTCCGCGTCTCCGCCCCAGCCTCCCCTTTCTCTCTCTCTCTCTCCCTCTCTTCCGACGTGGCCCAAAGCGCAGCCACCTCGGCGCGCTGCGCACGGCCGGCTCGGCGGTGCCCCAGCTGTGCGGCACAACCCCCCGCCGGGGTGGCCGCTCGCCCGCATTGTGCTCCGCGCGCCTCCACCCCACTCTACCTCGCTACTCCTTCCACCAGATCCACTGCGTGGCGAGAGATCCGATGGTGGTGGCGACTGCGACGTCGGCTGTAGGGGCTGCGTGTCGAGCCCACGATACCAGTGGCCACGAAGGGTCCCCGCTGGCCTCGTAGTAGGTGGGGTCCATCTGGTCGATGGTGGCGACGACGCGGCTACCTCCGGTGAACTCCTCACGCCGGTGAGCCTCCATTTCGCAATCAACAAAGAGATGTTGCGATGTGCTGAAAACGCATGTTGCAAGCATATGTTTCAGATGTTTCAGAGGTATGTTGCAATTGTTTGAGATGAATGTTGCAAAAGTAGATCAGAATATTTGCATATGTTGCAATGATTGTACATGTATGTTGCAAAGGACTGTTCCTAATGTTTCATCTGTGTTTTTGGACGTATTGTTGTAAGTGTGTTTATCTGATGTTGCATACAACATGTTTCAAGTGTTTCATTTGTCTTTAGACGCATGTTGCAAGTGTTGCATCTAGATGTTTTAAAAGTAGATTGGATGTTGCATATGTTGCAATGTGCATGAGAAGCGGAGGGGACGCGAGCGGTTTCCGCACGTGGTCTGGTGGCGTGGGACGTGCATGGGCACGTGAAACCCAGGCGCAGGAGGGGCGTGTTGTTTTTTTTGTGCGAGCGCGGGCGTGGATTGCTGGTGCGAGCGCGGGAAATTGCAGCGTGGGTGTCCGGGCGCGGGCCTCGAGCCGGATGTCCGGGCGCTAGTCGTCCCGTAAATTGAAACTTGCCTCATACAATTATGAGATTAATTAGGAGAAAAAGAACTTACACTGGATTTTTAATGATCTACCTGTTTTGATTAACCAAAGAGTCTATGTTCAATATAATTAATATATATATATATATAATAAATTAAAATAATAATAAATTAAGAAAAATAACTATTTGATTTCCGTATGAGTATGAAAGAAAAATATCTAAATACAAATTTCATGTAAAACACAATTGATAAAGGCAAAATTCTAAAACAAACAATGAAAAGCTAATAGTTTGGTTTCCACACGAATGTAAAGAAGAAAAACCTAAGTCAGTGGTTAATATAAATTATAACTGGCATGGGCAGAAATCGCACAACTATGAGGTAGTAGTAGTAGTAGAAAAGGAGGAGTAGAGAGAACGCGCACGCAATAGCTTTAAGCAAAAAATGGATCAACTATAGCGATATGAAGTTTGTGCCTATGGATGCAAAGGGGTTCATGGAGAAAGGATCAATTCAACCAAACAAAGAAACAAATGTATTTGAAAAAAAAACTTCAAGTGAGAAAAATATAAATAACAAAAAAAAAACTAGATAGTAGTATTATTTACACGGACCAGCTTTTGCTAGTTTGTGCTGAAACAACACCTTAAGGGGCCGTTTGGATCCCTTCATTTTGAGGAATTAAAATCTATATAATGGATTAGAATATTTGACTTGGAATTTGACATTCTATAACTTTATTAAGCTCACAAATAAGCATATCTCAAATTCATAGGGTGGGAGATGGAAATAGATTCTATAGATTACTATGCTATAATTCTATTCTCCAACTTATAGCACGCTATTCAACTCACTTCCCTACAATAGAAATGCAACATATAAGTATATCCCTTGTATGCCTAACAATAAATATACAAATATATTCCATATGCAACTATATTAGCTTAATTAATCTATACCTAAATTGTAATTATTAGAATAAATTTAATTCCAAAGATCAAAACGGTCCTAATAGAAATGTTCTTTCACCTTGACACGATTTCTCTCTCGACTTGCATAGAGAAGCTACAGGTTTGTAGTCCTGCATAGAATAGCTTGTCTTGGCTGAATCTAATCTCTTTTCCATCTGTATATATAAAATGTGCAGATGTCTAATGTATTACTTCTCTCTGGTCACCGCGAACCAATGATACAAAGGGAAGGAGAAACTGTCCACAAACGTGCCCCTTTACTCAACATACTGTATTAGATTTCGCGCATGCTATTCCCTTACGTTACACTTACACATCTGAAGATATATACACAGTCCATGGCCATTGCACGTCGAGAGGTGGTCACTGACGAATTCTCGAACCAACAGATCTAAGACATCTGCTGCTGTGTTCAGGCTCCAGCACTGGTCCTCGGTCAATAGTCCCTGGCCCCTCCAGGCTCCAGCTCAGTAGCTCACCATGCATGTTTCGATAGTATATTCGCAGCCGAGTGCCTGCATCTCCCTGCCAGGCTGCCACTGCGCCTTGCCCTGCTCAACCAGTGTACAAGCAACCCGTACGTCGTGGCATCAACTGCTGGACGCCGACCCATTACCATTCGATTATATCATAGATCAGCAGCTAGCTCTCTGCTCCTACAGGTACAGGCTACAACACGACGTCGCGACGCTTCTTCGGGTTCTGCTCGGCAGTCCCTTTCCGCATCATCGCCACGAACTCGCTGTAGTCGATCCTCCCGTCCTGCGTCATGCACCAACAATTCATCGATCAGCCGACCGACCTCATCGTCATATATATCGTTCAGAATCCATGCAGCAACCGATCGACTTACGTTGTCGGCGTCGACCTCCGAGATGATGTCCTTGATGTCCCTGCCGTCCAGGAGCCCCTTCTCCTTGAGCGCCTGCTCCAGCTCCTCCTTGGAGATGCACCTGCCAATAATAAACCACGAGGCTAGCAGCTAAGAATTCGCGGCATGCGTTTTTCTTTCTTTCTTTTTTGTGGCGTGGCCGTGGCGTTTCACTTTCACGCCGGCGATGCATTGCATGGCATCGTCTGAATCTGAATGAGCGAGCGAGCGAGCGAGCCAAGGGTTACCCGCTGCCGTCCTTGTCGAAGTACTGGAACGCGGTGTACAGGTGCTCCTCCCTGTCCATCCTGTTCATGTGCATCGTCGCCGTGATGAACTCCTCGTAGTCGATCGTCCCGTTCCCGTCCGCGTCGGCCTGCATTTGTTTGTTTTATTCGCAATCATGCATATCGTTCAGCTTCAGCACAGTGTCCGTGTGTGAGCATGAGCAATGCACACGTGTGCCAAGTGTACGTGTGGAAATGGAAATGGAAACTCACGGCCGCCATCAGCTGCTCCACTTCGGCCTCGCTGAGCTTGGTGCCCTGCTTGGCCAGCCCTCGCCGCAGCTCGTCCACGGTGATGGTGCCGCTGTTGTCGGCGTCCATGCTCTTGAACATCTCCTTTAGGCCCCTGATCTCCTCCTCCGACAGGCATCCGGCGATGACCTTCGATTCAGTGATGATCCGGATTTCAGAATGGGCACCTCACCAGTCAGGCAGGTCCTTGAATTCAGAATGTTGTGCCTGGAAGAAACACACATACCCTCAGCGCGGCTTTCTTGAACTGGTTCATCGCCGTGAACTGCTTGAGCCTGTTCATGACAGCGTTGTCCAGTGGCGTGTCAGGCGCTTCACCATCTTCCTTGATCCAAGGATGATCTGCACAGCAAACAGATATATACCGCCGCCGTTTCGATTCAAAGATTCAAAAGTCAAAACTGCACAAGAGTCAGCTGCGTGCAGAAGGAGAACATACTGAGGACGTCGTAGGCAGAGATCCTCTTCTTAGGGTCAGAGGTGAGCATCTTCCTGACGAGGTCCTTTGCGCTCGGTGAAATGCGCGGCCACGGGTCGCTTGTGAAGTCCACCTGTCCCCTCAGGATGGAGTTGAAGATGCCGTGCTCGGATTCTGAAATGCATCATCTTTCAGACATGATGCCTGGTGACTGGTCTGGTGGATGGAGGTGGGACCGGAGCCACAAGCAAGCGCTGAAAACAAAGAAGTGCATGCAGAAATCAAATGGAGGACGACTTGCCGGCCCAGAAGGGCGGAACTCCGCAGAGGAGGATGTAGACGATGACGCCGATGCTCCAGATGTCCGCCTCGGGCCCGTAGTTCCTCTTGAGCACCTCCGGCGCGATGTAGTAGGCGCTGCCGACGATGTCCTTGAACACCTCCCCTTGCTTGAAGAAGACGGAGAGGCCGAAGTCGGTGGCCTCGAGCGGCGCGTTCTCGTCCTTGCTGAGGAGGAGGAAGTTCTCGGGCTTGAGGTCGCGGTGGATGACGCCCAGGGAGTGGCAGGTGTGCACGATCTCGACGATGGTGCGGAGCAGCGACGCGGCGGCGCGCTCCGTGTACTTGCCCTTGGCGATGATGCGGTCGAAGAGCTCCCCGCCGGCGCAGAGCTCCATGACGAGGTGCACCGACTGCTTGTCCTCGTAGGCGCCCTTGAGCTCCACGATGTTGGGCTGCCCGGCGAGGTGGTACATGATCTGCACCTCGCGCCGCACGTCCTCCACGTCCTCCTTGGTGGACAGCTTCCGCTTGGCGATGGTCTTGCACGCGAACCGCTCCCCGGTGGCCTTGTGCGTGCACAGGCTGGTGACGCCGAACTGGCCGCGCCCGAGCTCCTTGCCCACGGTGTAGATGCTGCGCACGTCCTCCATGGGGCGGCCCAGCACCGGGCCAATGGGCGCAGGCGGCTTCGTGGGCTTGGGGGCCGACCCGTCCGAGGCGCCGGCCTTGAGGGACGTGCCGCCAGAGTGGAGGCGGGAGGAGGGGTCGGCGGAAGCAGCGGGGGCGGGTTCCGCATCCCGGAGCCCGGGCAGCAGTTGCCCATGGCGACGGGGCGGCGGAGGGGCAGCGGCGTCCGTCCCCCCGGAGAGGATGAGGGTGTTGGGTGTTGTGGAGCCGTAGCCCGTAGGGGGGGGGGGGCAAGGTGGCGACCTGAGAATTCTATAGCGCGAGGGATTGGGTGGTGGCCATGGCCGAGGGAAGGGTGGGTGGGGAGGAAATGGCGGGAAGGGAACCACCCGCCTCCCTCTTCCCGTTTGGTTTGGGTTAGTTGTCTTCTCTTCTCTTCTCCTCTTGTCTTTATTACGGAGTTTCCTTGTTTCGGAATACTTGATTCCAACCATGTAGGATGGATTTGAACGATAAAGATGGATAGATACAAATTTACAGTGGATTTGGATAAAGTCTGTCTACTACACAACCATGTGTTTTATGCAGTTTCAATACATGATTTTTTTTGCACCATAGGATTAAGATCCAACAGCTTCCACTCTTCTTTTACCTTCAGCCTCCACATATCACAGATCACATTTTTTTTTCTATGGAAGGACAAATCACAGATCCGCCGCCGCCGCCGGGGCGAGCTCGCCGGTCGCCGGCGCCGGCGCCGGTGGTCACCGGTGAGAAAGAGAGAGGGAGAGAGATATAAAAAAAATCCATGTGTTTTTTTGTGCTAAAACACATGTGTGTTGTATAGCATTTCTGTTTGGATATATTTGGATTTTTATGTGAACTTGATTGCTTAACCATGTCAATTTCAAGCTTTGATATTATTGGTCACTATATTGTGTTATCCATGGATATTGGCCCATGTATAAGGTTCTTCCTTAATTTGTCTCAGTAGATTAATGGTTCCAAATTCCAATGCCCATCTTTTGATGTGGAACCCACGGGTTGATTTGTCTCTAATAAATTTTAGCTAATTTCTCTAAACCTTTAAGGTATGAGCGTGATTTTTTAATTTAAAATACTGACTTTTGAAGTGGGGTCTAGGTGTAGATCTTGCCACACTAATATGCACGAAAATAGCTTGAGTCATCTCCGATAAATTTCTCTCGACATTGCTATGATTTTAAGATACGAACATGAGGTTTTATTTTAAGTACGATTTTTAACATGAGACACATCTAGATCTAGCCATACTGATTTGCACAAAGTTGCTTACCATTATATTGAGTCATTTCCAAACAAAAAAAACAGTCAAATAACTAACTTTTAACGATGTGAGTACGAATTTTCGATTCCATGGTTTGACTTAAGATGTAGAGTCCATATGTATAAATACTAGTTTTATCAATACCAGATCATATCGGATGGACTTGAATTAAAAGGGGTTGTATTGGATTAGAGACTAGTCATTTTTACATTAGGTTTTGGATTGGATGTTGGAATTTTTTTCCTTTAATTTTAGTTGGATTTTCATATCTCAATGCATTTCCACATCTACGACGTTTCCATTAAGCTCATATGTAATATGAATGAGGGGGGCCCACACTTTGCTTATACTTATTAGGCTCCGTTTCCGATTCTATACAGAATCAGGAGAAACAGCACCAAGCAGGATAGTAGTGAAACGTTTTAGCCCATAATATAAACGTTTCTCCATCCTTGCCTAGACTCTTGAATCTGCTGAAGTCTGGTTTTGCAGTGATTCTCTTCAGTTTCTTTTGCGTCTCTTACGTGTCAACAGTTGTATTTTTTAAGATATAATCCTTTCTTAGTGCAACAAGTTAAAATGAGTTCTATTTAAGTTGTTCTTTACCATAAAAATTTAGATATTTTGAAGCATATTTTTGTTTATATGATTTTAAGAAAAAAAAAGGTTTTCTTTCGAATCAGAACCCAAGCTACTAGCCAGACAGTCTCATAAAGTGATCTTGATTATCACCCGAAACGTTTTTTTAGAGAATCTAGATCTAAAACATTTCTATAATAATCTGGATGCTTATCAAACGCACTGTTACTCCAGGCATCTCAACAAGAAAAAAAAAAGAATCGATGCATGCAAAAAGTACTTTCCAATCTTAAAATTTCATAGTTTTGACTCTAATTGCCTAAAATAAAAAAACATCGTCGTGATCTATATGCACAAGAACTTCTAAACAAGACCACACTTACGTGTACTGGCTGACATTTTCTCATTAAAACAACTTTGCGAATGCTTCCAGGTGTATTATAACTAGCTTATTACATTTGAAAACTTTACTAAAAAGAAATCTGGTTTGAGTTAATGTTCTATTCATGTTATTATTGGTGTAAAGAGGGAACAAGATTGCTAAGGAGAAAAATGAAACAACCGCGAGGAAGTAAAATAGACTTTTTCAAAATAGAAAAAACTTATTAGGTCAACGACTAGTACGGTGAGAGATTAGGCCCAAAATCATATTGTATGGTGGCCTTTGGCCTATGGGCCTCCAAAGGCACCTTTTCAAAATCGGTACGCCGAGAATGCCAGCGTTCAACGGAGGAGGTATAATTAAAAAAAAACGGCTGTTTCGAAAGATTAGCTTCCCTGTGCAGCCGTGCAGGTAATCTGGGAGCCTGGCTGGGACAGGGACGGTATAGGTGATCTTATGCTGTGCTCGTGATGATGCGGTGGCGCCGGAGGTACTCACCGCCCTCTGAAAGCAGCAAAGCCGATCAGAGTTCAGACGGCACCAACTAGTATAGTAGTATTGGCAGTCACTCTATGATTGCATTGGATGATCACTGGCGGCACCAACTCAATCAACTGGTAGCGATCTCACTGTCAGCGTCAGGACGGCGTAGCAGATACTAGCACTCCGTATTAGCACGCGGCAGTCGCCAGTCCGGGACGGAGCCGCGCAGCGGCGCAGGGCAGTGGACAGCCCACAGGCGTCCCCGGCGTAAAAATTAGCCGGGGCACGGGAGCAGAGACGGGCGGCACGGCTCGGCAGCCGCCGGGGCCATGACCCCACGTCCAATGGAACCAATTCCTCTCTGAGGCACCGTAATTTTCCGGGGCACCCGGCCGGCCGGCCCGGCCCAATGGAACCAATTCGTCTGCGCCCCCATCGGCCCATCCCACCCCGGCCCCGACCTGGCGTATATCGTGACACGACACAGTGGCCGCCGACTTTGGATTCCCAGTCCCAGGTGTAGTAGCAAAAAAAAAAAAAAAAAAAAAAGTAGTAGCCACGAAAGGAACGAAACGACACGCGCAGGGTCAGGTCTGGTGTGGATGACGCAGCTTTTGAAAACCATAGTATCATAAAACTGTGTTTTTATAAGCTAAAAATAAAGAAATACAACACTGGGGTTTAGAAAAAATAGGTCATGAGTGGAGTTTTTTAAACTCTAAAAAGACTATAATTTTAATAAAACTATGATTTTAGAGACTATAAGATTTATTGCAACCAAACACCCATTAACATTTAACAACTGAAGTTGTCGGATTCATAAACCCGGGGTCCCTCATGGAGTCATGGACCAGCTTCCCAAATAAAGGCTCGGACAAGTAGACAACGTTGCAAATGATGCGCAACTCATGGGCCGGTCTAAATACCTAAACGACAGGACAGAAGGACGATCCAATCTCCGACCGGAAGGCATGGCCGAGAAGGAACGGCGCCCGCTTCCGCCTCTGGCCCGCCTCTCCGACCGGAAGGCCTCGCTTCCGACTCCGGCCCGCCTCCGAACGACCTCTCCGACCGGAAGGCCCGGCAAAACACCACTTCCGACTCCGACCCGCGTCCCCAACCGGGGTACGTCGAACCCCTGCTCACAGCTCTTCTCCAACTGGCGCAATCAGAGCCGACCGGGACCAACCGACCGGGAACGCCCGCTCGGTAAGGACCAGAAAATAGACGGAGAAAGTAAGGCAGGACACTCAAGTCAACCACAATACCAAGGACCGTACCCTGTACACCTGCAGGACAGTACCCTGCGACCTTTCCATGCAGTGTTGTAGGCGCCGATATTTTCCCTACAGTGTTGTGGGCGTCATCAACTCCCATACTAGACAAACGCGGTAAGGCTCCCCCCACATGCCTCTGGGCATCAACAGTGTTGTGGGCGCCAGCATTTACCGTACCGGGCGAACATGGTAAAACCACCTGCATACCTCTCGGCATCAACAGTATGGTAGGCACCGACGTCTGTCATACCAGAAGAAGACGACGCAACCTCCCTCATGCATCTGACATTTAACAGTGTTATGGGCGTCTACAATCATCTTGTGCCCGACGGCGTGAGCAACAAGACTTAGTATACGTACACTCTCCCCCTCTCACTTGTAAGGCTATCCCCTTCATCTATAAAAGGGGATGTGCTCTCTCCCAAACAGAGAGATCGATCAGTTCACTAACACACAACAGCAGAACCACTAGATTTAAACCTCGAGCACACGCTCGAACACATAGCACATAGCGGAGCTCCTGTCACTCTCGGCCCTTCAAACCAGAGTCCGACCGGACCTCTTGTACCCCCATCTTTCTCTCTTCCGTTTATAACCCCACAACAAACTTCGAGCACCTGGGCTCAGAAATAGTCATCGACCTACTCAAACTGGACGTAGGGCATGTTGCCTGAACCAGTATAAACCCTGTGTCATTGAGTGCTAGGCCACCTCCGATCACAACGTACAGCAAAACTACAAATATTTACGTGTTGGTCACTTTCTGCACCGACAGTTGGCGCTGTCCGTGGGGAAGACGATGTACGTTCAACATATTTTGGTCATTGGATGGCCCACTTTTCCGCCATCTTCACCATGGTGGGCTCAAGTGATACGACTCACTTTGGCTCACTGGAGTTTCCCGCACTCCCACCTGTTGGGATGCGGATTCCACCCGTCTTCGAGCCGCCCTAGGCCTTCCTCTTTGGAAGCCTAGACTTCGTCGCCGACCGGCTC